CCGTGGGGCGCCCTCGTTCCCAGCACTGGTACTGGAAGGTGGAGCTGAGTCTATGATATAGATTTGGGCTGTAGGTGCCCCTGTTCCTGGTACTGGAAGGTGGAGCTGAGTCTACGATATAGAATTGGGGTGTAGGTGCCCCTGTTCCCAGCACTGGTACAGGAAGGTGGACCTGAGTCTATAATATAGGTTTGGGCTGTAGGTGCCCCTGTTCCCAGCACTGGTACTGGAAGGTGGAGCTGTGTCTATGATATATATTTGGGCTGTAGGTGCCCCTGTTCCCAGCACTGGTACTGGAAGGTGGAGCTGAGTCTATGATATAGATTTGGGCTGTAGGTGCCCCTGTTCCCAGCACTGGTACTGGAAGGTGGAGCTGAGTCTATGATATAGATTTGGGCTGTAGGTGCCCCTGTTCCCAGCACTGGTACTGGAAGGTGGAGCTGAGTCTATGATATAGATTCGGGCTGTAGGTGCCCCTGTTCCCAGCACTGGTGATGAAGCTGAGATGACATCTGTTGTGTTGGGTTATTTCCCTGAACTCAGTGAAGCAGATAGGAAACCACAGAAACCGCGACTTGTACTGAGCACACGGTGGAATTCAGAGCGCTGTGCCGACCTGCAAGTGGAGTGTGCAACAAAACCAGCCCACGTCGTGTCTTCTAAGGAGGAACCCTAACACTTCACACTAACCCTTTACTTACATCACATGCAGGAGGGCCCAAAGCACCCTTGTGGACTTCTTATTTTAGTGTGTTGTGATTTGTCATCTTTTACATGTTCTGTATCACTTGTTGTAGGTGGTACGCCGGCCGGATCTCCAGGCAGGTAGCGGAGGAAATTTTGCTGAAAAGGAGATTTCTGGGCGCCTTCCTGATCCGTGATAGTGAAAGTTCTCCCGGGGAATTCTCCATCTCAGTCAAGTAAGACTTACTGCTTCTGTATTCTATATGAATGGGGTTTTTTTTAAAATGAAAGCTGCTGTCCAGGCAGGAAATGAAGAAACATTGTTTTTTAATTACTTCTTCAAGGTTGGGGTTCTTCTTCAAGCAACCACCAGCTCCTTTCACTGTAGCTTGAGCATTTCCTGTTGAGAAGACCAATCATCTCAGATGGCTATCTGCGGGCTGAGTGCCTGGTCTTCTCAATGCCCCCCTCTAGTCTTGGATGTGACGTAGCCCTGCAGACTTCTTTTCCCTGAGCTGCTGGAGGAAGAAGATCCAGAAGTTGGGTGATGACTTGATGATCTGGACTTGAAATAAGCTTTACTCCTGACACTATTGAAGTGTATTGTATGCAGGGCTGGATTTTCCACAAGGCCAACCAAGGCCTTGTGGAAGGGGCAGCAGGGAGTAGAGGGGCAGCTGGGGTGTGGAATTCCCATCTCCTGATGCCCGGGACATGTAGTTCTGGGTGCCGGGTGGGTAGTTGTCTTCAACATTTAGCCCTGCTTTGGGTAAATGTACTGCGGGGAAGCCTCTGCTTGTTTTGTAAAAGTGATCTCGCCAAGATCACCTTTTTGCAGCCTGCAGGTCTGCCATTCTCCATGGGGGCGGGGGGGAGTTGGCGGGTAGGGGCGCATTGAGGAACCCGATCAAGATGCAGTGAGTCAAATCATTTTGTCCTTCAAGAAATACCTCCCGTGGTGTCCATTGATGTCATCACTGTGTCTTCTGCTGCTCTTTGGTGGGTCCTGTAAACCTGCCTGAGATCTTTTTCAAAAACATTATATGAAAGATCTTTTTAGATGTTTCTAGATCTCTTTATCTCTCTTTTGGGATCACTTTAGATGTGACTTCTACTCCCTACTGGGTGCTGTGCACTCGGCCAGGGGCGGACTGGGCCGGGGGGCAGGGTGGCAATTGCCCCCCGGGCCTCTCTGTTGCCTCTAAAAACGGCCCCCGTCGGGCCGGCGCTAACACGCTACTTCAGCGGCCGAGGAGAACAGCATGTTCGGCTGCCTTCCCGAATGCCCGTGTCACTGATCTGGCTCCTCAGCGGCCACGGCAGCTCCCTCCGCCCACTTCTGCTGCTATTGGCTGGGAGGGAGACTGCCCACCTACCATTGGCAGGCTGTGGAGTGCTGCGCGGGACCTGAAGGGAGGCGACACACGAGGAGGCTGCTGGAACATTCATCGAGGCTGCTACTCGGCTGATCAGTGGAAGGGTTGCAGACATGTCTAAAGGGATGCCGGGGATGCCTTCTTTCATATAACGAGTGGGAGCAAAATGATTGATAGCAGAGAAAGCTAATAGCTGTCAGAGGGAGGCCAAGGACACTACACACGAGAGGGGGGTGGGGGGGGGCAGTGATTAATGAATGAAGGAATACATTCAGACAGGAAATGAAGGTGGGCTTAAGATAGCGGCTGAAGCTTCAAAAGATTATATTGCAGAGCTGAAGGTTTCCAGGGAATTGAGTCTTCAGATTCCACAAAGGAGAGGACATCCTACAAGTGTTGGAAAAAGAGAGTTCAACTTTAAGGTGAGTAATTAAAAAAAAGGGTTCTGTATGAGGATGGGGTTCACAAATCGGACCTAGATTAGTTAGCCGTGTGTCTATAAATACCGGTCCACCTTCCCGGCACCTATCAGAGCGGAGGAAGTCACTGGGACAGGTGGTGGAGTGTCTTTAATGTGACAGAACAAGTCCATTTGATTATGATGTCTTCCGGCCATTTCATGACTTGGATCAATGAGATCCTTCACAGACATCCTGACACATGTGGAGAAGCACGGGGATTGATCATGTTTATTTGCTTGAAGTTCTTCCCTTGGACCCAGTTAGACGCCCTCTATGTGATAAAATGAAGCCTCTCTCATGCTCCTTGTTTTCCTGAGATTAGCCGTCCGATCTCAGAGGTCCCCTGCAGATCCAAACAAACCCATAAGGGGGCAGCAAAGGAACAGGATTGTCCTGAGGCCTGGATAAGGAGAAAAATCCCAGAGGAGTAAGAATGCTATTTGTATTGTATCTTTTATATAGAGGGAGTGTGCGGCCCTGATATAGGGGGAGTGTGCGGCCCTGATATAGGAGGAGTGTGCGGCCCTGATATAGGGGGAGTGTGCGGCCCTGATATAGGGGGAGTGTGCGGCCCTGATATAGGGGGAGTGTGCGGCCCTGATATAGGGGGAGTGTGCGGCCCTGATATAGGGGGAGTGTGCGGCCCTGATATAGGGGGAGTGTGCGGCCCTGATATAGGGGGAGTGTGCGGCCCTGATATAGGGGGAGTGTGCGGCCCTGATATAGGGGGAGTGTGCGGCCCTGATATAGGGGGAGTGTGCCGCCCTGATATAGGAGGAGTGTGCGGCCCTGATATAGGGGGAGGGTGCGGCCCTGATATAGGGGGAGTGTGCGGCCCTGATATAGGAGGAGTGTGCGGCCCTGATATAGGGGGAGGGTGCGGCCCTGATATAGGGGGAGTGTGCGGCCCTGATATAGGAGGAGTGTGCGGCCCTGATATAGGGGGAGGGTGCGGCCCTGATATAGGGGGAGTGTGCGGCCCTGATATAGGAGGAGTGTGCGGCCCTGATATAGGGGGAGGGTGCGGCCCTGATATAGGGGGAGTGTGCGGCCCTGATATAGGAGGAGTGTGCGGCCCTGATATAGGGGGAGGGTGCGGCCCTGATATAGGGGGAGTGTGCGGCCCTGATATAGGAGGAGTGTGCGGCCCTGATATAGGGGGAGGGTGCGGCCCTGATATAGGGGGAGTGTGCGGCCCTGATATAGGAGGAGTGTGCGGCCCTGATATAGGGGGAGGGTGCGGCCCTGATATAGGGGGAGTGTGCGGCCCTGATATAGGAGGAGTGTGCGGCCCTGATATAGGGGGAGGGTGCGGCCCTGATATAGGGGGAGTGTGCGGCCCTGATATAGGAGGAGTGTGCGGCCCTGATATAGGGGGAGGGTGCGGCCCTGATATAGGGGGAGTGTGCGGCCCTGATATAGGAGGAGTGTGCGGCCCTGATATAGGGGGAGGGTGCGGCCCTGATATAGGGGGAGTGTGCGGCCCTGATATAGGAGGAGTGTGCGGCCCTGATATAGGGGGAGGGTGCGGCCCTGATATAGGGGGAGTGTGCGGCCCTGATATAGGAGGAGTGTGCGGCCCTGATATAGGGGGAGGGTGCGGCCCTGATATAGGGGGAGTGTGCGGCCCTGATATAGGAGGAGTGTGCGGCCCTGATATAGGGGGAGGGTGCGGCCCTGATATAGGGGGAGTGTGCGGCCCTGATATAGGAGGGGGAGTGTGCGCCCCTGATATAGGAGGGGGGTGCGGTCCTTACATAGGAGGGGGGTGCCGCCCTGATATAAAAGGAAACCCGCGAAACGTGTTGACTTTCTTATCTTGTTGATTTTTTTTGGATGGACTCTGATGTGACGTCCTTCATGTTATCTACTGAATACCAGGAGACCCGATTATAACCACACCCAGCTATCCGCCTCAGAGGAGGGACCGCCCCCTCCCCCTACCAGGGACACAACCTTCTCCATCAGTCAATTAGACAGAAGCTGCCGACAAGCGCACCGTCCTGAGCGCACCTCCCATCGGTTCCGTATTTGTTAAAATAAAGACATGAAAAGAAAACCCAAAAAGATTGTTCTATAAACTTCCAAAAACATAGAGTACCACCCGTGACCCGTTCACGATCCGTGTGTTCAGAACTTCCGGGCTCCCTGGTAAAGCTTGTGTGAGAATCGCCGTCCCGTGTCATGTAAACAGATGACGTGCCGGGTGAAGACCGCAGCTCTGAGCCCTTACCTGAGAACATGTCAGCTTATGCCGGGCTGAACGGGGAGGCTGATGACTGCAGAGGAAGGATGGATCGGCCCGCCACAGGATGTGGGTGACACCGGCGGAGCCTCATAACTGTATTCCTGTCCTAGAGAAAGCGAGGTGTAGATTTCACGACCGCGGTGCAAACCTGACACCGTGCGTCCCGCCGTGTACTGTCCTGCAGAGAGGGATATGCACTGTCTTCTGTCAGGGCTGGAAATAGACGTGAGAACTCGGCGACAGTATCCGGCTCTGGTTAAAGTTTTTTGAATTTAATCAGCGTAGACAAAGTGTTCACAAATGTCTGACATAGAACAGCCCCTGCTGCTGCCTACTCTCAATTCCACCTACTATGAAGTTACAATGTTGCAGACTGATCACTGGGGGAGGGGAGACTGAGGAAATGCTTCTTCCTGCCTGCAGCAGACTGATCACCGGGAAAGGGGAGACTCAGGAAATGCTTCCTCCTGCCTGCAGCTGACTGATCACCGGGGGAGGGGAAACCGAGGAAATGCTTCCTCCTGCCTGCAGCAGACTGATCACTGGGGGAGGGGAAACCGAGGAAATGCTTCCTCCTGCCTGCAACAGACTGATCACCGGGAAAGGGGAGACTCAGGAAATGCTTCCTCCTGCCTGCAGCTGACTGATTTGATAATTCTCCCAGATTGCCTTGCACACCCCGGGCCTCTTTGACTGGAACTGTTTTTTAGTAGCTTTTTGAAAAATGTGGAGAATAGATTCCTGCAGATTTGTAAAGTTGCTGACAGGTCCAAAATGTCCAAGGACCCAGATGATTAAAGTGGGCCTCACTCTCCCAGATGACCCCCCTAAGCCTAGCCACAGTCTCTTGCTTGCTGTCTCGGTGCGAGTGACGGCAGCTCAGTAAAGCACAGCAGTGAGGTGGAGAAGCCTGTTAGTTTTTGTGGTTTTGGCATCCCCAGCATCCTTGTAGCACATACCACATGACCTTGTATTTGATGGCTTCCTGTACAATCAGTTGCCGTGTTCTGGGACTTCCATGTGAATTCCAGGCTGTGGTTCACATTCAGGTAAATAGAGAGGCGCGCACGCAGATACCTGAGCTTCACATCACATGGCATCACATGGCATCACATGACATTACAGCCAACACGTCAACCCAACAACAATGA